ACAAAAACCAAAACCCTGATGAAATCTTAGACTGCATTAAGAGAGACATGGCATGCAGGACTACTAAGACAATAGTCATATACTCTAACCCTAATCAGATCACTTTTTGAGTATTGTTTTCAGGTTTGAGTGGCACGTTTTAAGAAAAAACATTGATAAACTAAGGAGCATCCAGTAGAGGGCAGCCATTATTATGAATCTTCAGGTTCATGCCATAAACTTTATTTTTTTTTATTAATTTATTTTAAGTTTTCAACATTCACTTCCATAAGCTTTTGAGTTTTAAATTTTCTCCTCCTCCCTCCCTGTCTGCCTCCCCAAGACAGCATGCAGTCTGATATAGGCTCTACATATACATTCCTATTAAACATATTTTCACGTTAGTCATGTTATAAAGAAGAATTAGGACCAATAGGAGGAACCACAAGAAAGAAGAAAGAAAACAAAACAGAAGGGAAAAAAAGAGCAAATAGTATGCTTCGATCTGTATTCAAACCCCATAGTTCTTTCTTTGGATGTGGATAACATTTTCCATCATGAGACTTTTGGAGATGTCTTAGATCCTTGCATTGCTGGGAAGAGCCAAGTCTATCAAAGTCAGTCATCTCATAATGTGGCTGTTACTGTGTACAACATTCTCCTGGTTCTGCTCACTTCACTCAGCATCAGTCCATACAAGTCTTTCCAGGTTTTTCTGAAGTCTGCCTGCTCATCATTTCTTATAGCACAATAGTATTCCATTACATTCATATACCACAACTTGTTTAGCCATTCCCCAATTGATGGGCATCCCCTCAATTACCAGTTCTTTGCCATAAGCCATAATCTTTTGAAGGAACTGGGGTTGTTTAGACTGGAGAAGATAAATTTTTAAGAGGGACATGGTAGCTATTTTCAAATATTTGAAGGATAGAGGAGTTAGACTTGTTCTGGACCTCAGAGGACACAACAAGAACAAGGGGTAAAAAAAGTACAAGGAGGCAAATTTAGGTGTGGTGGAAGGTGAAACTTTCTAAAAATTAGAGCCAGTCAGAATTTTAATGAGCTGCCCTTGGCACTGGGCTCTTCCTCACTGGAAGTCTTCATTCAAAACCTGGATGACCATTTGTCACATGCATTATTGACAGATATGATTCGGATTAAGTGAGCGTTTCTGTGAATTTTTTTAAAAGCATGCATACACACACAGACACCTAAAAGAATACCACCACAGCACTGTCAGTTTAACAAAAATATTCTGTTTTGTTTTGTTTTGTTTTGTTTTATCAGAACTTTGGAATTAACCAACATCTTTTGAACCGGATAAGTTTGTTAGCACTTGAAATATCTGTGTTGTGTTGAATGAATATTAACAATGCCTTGTCAACTTCATTTTTCCTTGCAAATGAGAGTGGTACTGGTTAAAAAAAAAAAGGTAGCATGATTTAAGAGGTAATTTCCATGGATAAAGCATAAAGTTGGGAAACAGACCTGTGTTTATTGGATAAAGGGTCAAGAAAGTGACATGCTCAGAGCTGTGCTTTAGGAAAATCTCAGTGACAGCTGAGTGAAGAAGGGAGCAGGGTGAGGAGGCACTGGAGGCAGGGAGCCCAGCCATCAGGCTATTACAGTAGTTTAGCTGTGAGGTAATGAGGGCCTCAACAGGTGGGTAGCTGTGTGTGTTGGAGAGAAGAGAGCATATGCAAGAGATATTGTGAAGATAAAATCAGTGGAAATTGGTATGGGGGGATGGGATAGAGATTGTAAAAGACAGTGTGGAGTAGAATATTATGCCAACCTGGGTAACTAGAAAAATTGACTTTGATGTATGTCTATACTAAACTGTGAGTGAATGTGTTCAACCCTCCTTTACCTATTTTAGATAAGAGTAAAGTTTATTGATGTCCATTCCACCCATCCCTTCTTCTATGTTTGTATATTCACAAACACCCTAATTATGAGAAATAGCAAGTTCCACCCCCTTCTTTATTTCTACATTGGTGTATTCCTCCTTTCCCATTTCCTTCTAGACCTCCAGAACAGAATTAATCTACCCCTAGGATTCCTTTTCTTGTGTAAGATTGACCACTTTCTCTTCTAAGCTGCTTATTCTCTTTCCAGTTCTTTCCTCGTGAGCTTTCGTTTCATATTGAGTTCTTGCTTCATTTCGTTTAAGTGTGTGTGTATATATATATGTATATATGTATGTGTGTGTGTTTTATATGTAGTATTGTGGGAAAATCATTTTTCGCTTTAAATCTCTGCTTGCAGTTATTTGAAGTCATTTTTATTACTGCATAGTGTTTTATTTATTCATCTCTCTAACTTTAGTTCCTAAACTGAGGCTTTCTTCTAGGACTAGGCCTAGCTCCCTGCTCAGCTTTTGGATGGGGTTGTCAGCCCTGCTCAGTCTTGCCCTGAGCCCCCAACATTCTTGCACTTACTTCCCAACTTCCAGGGTTTAGCCCCCCTGGATCTTTGAAATTCAGAGTATTGAATTTTTAGAGCCCTTCTGGAACCCCTGAACCCAATGGCCTCTGCTCAGCACCCCCACTTCTACCCTTACTGATGGTTTTGTAGGCTACATGTGTACCTGGTCATCTCTGGTCTTAACTCAGAGGTTACCCTGTGGTGATGCTGGCTTTGTTGATGGTGGGGAGCATTAACTGACTTTTTGTGGCATTCTACAGTAGCAGGAGTTACTTTAGCTTTTTATTAAATTTCTTGATTATTATTCCATCTGGTAGAATTTCAGGGTTTTGTTGGTGTAGATATGTGGGAAGAAGGTAGCCTGCATTCTTAGCAGTCAGTTGCTAACTTTTTGTCTTCTAAGTTGAATTCTATAAGTCATTATGAACTAACAAGGTTATTTTTCCTGTACCTATCCTGCTATATAGGTTTAAACTAAAGTGGTCTTGTGAATTCAAAACATGAAGTTACCAATATATCACTTTTTAAAATTCTGAATTTTAGTGCTAACAGTAATACTACCTACCTGGGTAACCTTGAAGTTTCTAGGACCCTAGTGACTGTATCACTTATGTCATTGTCAGATAAGATTATGTGATTCATCTACAATTCTTTGAAAACTTAGAAGTTTAGTATCGTTTCAGAAATAGAAAGACATTTTAATAAACACATTTTTTCTAAAAGGGAATTAGTTTCCTACATGATCATATATACTATCTTAATAATATGTAATAGATATTCATAATTGTTTGCAGAGACACAGAAGCTTGGCCTTGGAATATACCCTGTGGGAATCATGGAATTTTTATCTACAATGAGATGATTTATTCTAACCCCCTCATTTTACAGATAAGAAAACTGAAGCCCACAGAAGTTATAATTTGGACAAAGTCATGTAGCTAGTCAGTAATACACACAAGACTAAAATCCAGATCTCCTGACCCCTCAGGGAATGCTTTTTCCGTTATACCACTCAGTGTTCCTTACTACTCCCTTCACCATCCTATTTTATGAGATTAGGAAGGTTCTATGCCAAATCTAGTTTTAAGTCACATCATTCTTGGGCGATAAGTGGTTGTTTTTAAAAATGGCCTCATTCTGTATAGCTGAGTTAAAGTATTTTGAAGCTGATTTGAATTCTGTTTATTTTATGATCAAGACAATTACAATGAAAAATTTTGACCCTTGTCTGCAGAAAAGCTTATGATTTGACAAACCTTGCTAGAATAGGTTGCAGATTTCCATTAGTTCTACCTATAAATTTAGGAAGCTCTGTCAAATGAAATTACTTTTACTTGTAGCTTTTGATAATAATGTAAAAATATTTTAGCTACTTTGCATCATAATTTCAAATGGATGGGGGAGGGGGGGCGACAGATACTGACACTGAAAATTAAGATGTTAACAACTCAGGAAGTCCTCAGGCACTTAAAAAGCTTTTCAGTTTTGATTATATTCATTCAGAATTTGTAAAGTTTAGCAGGGGAAGGATTGATATTTACCTTGTGCTCTTTGTAAATTATTACTAGAATATCTACTTTTTCAATGCCTAAAAAATTGTTCAGCTCATACACAATGCAAAATCTCAGTGTAAACAGAATTTCTGGAGAACTATTTAGAATATTTGAGAGAATAAATCTTTCAAGTAAAGTTTAGAATTCAAACTTTTCATTAATTCACAATTACATTCTCCTTGTATGGTTTTGAATTAGTGAGGTTTTATTATGTCTACTAAGTATAGTGGCATTTACTATATTACAGTGAATGCCCTCATTTTTGGTAATGTGTAAGTACACAGTGGAAAATCTTGATAATTTTTATTGATAATCATAAAAGGAAATAAGGACCAAACTGCATTAGTATTTTACATGAATAGTAATTACAGTTTTTATCAATTCTCAGTAGTTTACTAGATTTCAGAGGCATTTAATAAAAGGCTTCTTACTATTGGGAAGATTTTGTAAAGATGTTTGTTCAGTGTTTATACCTAAATTGGAAAATTTACATAGTTTGAGCCCATGTAGTAGTTAGAGCAGTGGATTTGGAGCCACAGTATGTTAAGTTCAACTGTCATTTTGGCTACTTACTTAACTGTGTGATCTTGACAAGTGACTTAACCTCTCCGAGTGCTCCTCATCTAAAATGGGGGGGTTGAACTAGATGACCTCTAAAATCCTTTCTAACTTTAAATTTATGTTCTGCTGTTATTTTCAATAATGAATTTGCTGTCATCTGAATGAATAGTATGAGAACCTATGATAGCATTAAAAACTTAAATATATGTATATACACAGACACACACACACACAATATTTATATGTCCTTAAATATCCCGCTCTATTGGCTCCTTTCCTTTCCTTTATATATGCCAAATTTGAGCCAGTGGCATATGATAACAAATAGGTATTCTGTGTGACCTAATAGTACTGTTACTAAGACATAGGAATTATAACCTTAGTAGAGAATAAAGATTGTTAGTTTTGAGCCAAACTGAGAAAATGTTTTGCAGATCTTTATGTAATAAAGTAACCTTTTTTTTTTCTTTTAAACAGAACTTCTTGGCATACATAAACAAGCAACTATAGGCTTTTTAACATTAATGGAATCTTTAAGGTATTGTAAGGTAAGTTGATATTTTAATATTGCATACTTTTAAATAACTTTAATGTAATTTTTCAAATGTTCAACCTTAGAATGTATTCTATTGCTAGTGGATATGTTGAGAGTATATTGTAGGTCAAGGGCTGGCCATCAATTGATGACTCTAAATACATACTTGTCTCATTTCCTGAAAATAACAAATGAATCAGTACCTGTATGTTGATTTATCTCATGAAGTCAAACACATTTATTACTGCCATGAATTGCTAGCCTTCTAAATAAGTGAAGTTCAAGTCCAGAGCTTTCATATTCCTCCCCAAAGCAAAATCCATGACTAGTAGTAGCATTACTACTTTATGAGGAAAAGAAAAAGAATTTGCTAAAATCTGAAATTCTAACTTTTATCTTTGTCAACTGCAAAAACCAGTCAGCACTCTTATTTGTTGCCCCTCTTATCCTTTTCTTGGCAGTAAAATATATCTGTGAACTTAATTTTTGAATATTGAAAATATCTATTTTATGGAGCCATGCTCTCTAAAGGTTTACACTTATGTAGGTATCATTTCTTTGTTTGGGGAAGGGACAGGTTTAGGAAAAATCTTTCATCTATTTTAGATCCTTGAGGATGGTAGGATTTTATAACAAGAAAAACAAATAATGTAATAATCATATTTTGCCTCCCTTCCCTCCTGTTTATTGTTCCCTTTGTGTCTTATAGTCTGTTCTTGTTGTCTTCTTTCATCAATAATAAAAAAGGCAGAATTGTCTTAAAGGTCAAAAAATCTTACAATAGTGACTTCCTTCCTATAAGAGTTCGTATTCTGGTCTGCAGTTTTGACCTTTCCCACTCAGCTCATATTTACTAACTTCCAGTGGTTGGCATACTACAAAACAGGTGCCTTTCCCACTCAGTATATATAGGAATGAGTTGAGAAGTATATGTTAAATGCTTACTGTTTGCAAAGTGCCGCGCTAACAGCACTTTATATGCATCCTTATGAAATACTAACCTTGAACCTGAATATATAGGCTACCAGAATCTTACAAATCTAAAAATATGTATATAAATTGTTTGTTTGTAGTCGAGGTAACTGAAGGCTTTAACATGAGTCAGTCAACATGCGATTACGAATTCTGTACCTTCTGCCAAGTACTCTGCTAAACCCTAAGGACACAAACACAAAAATGAAAATAATTCCTGCTCTCAAGGAACCTGTGTGTGCTAATGAGACATCAGGCAGCATTAAGAGAGGCATATTCTTAGGGATGAGGGAACTACCTTGTCAGACCCCATTTAAAGTATCATATACCAGTTTTTAAAAGGATGTTGATAAGTTGAACAGCATCCAGAGCACATTGACCAGGAAAATTGAAGGCTTTGGGATTATAACATGTGAAAATGATTTGAAGGGTTCTAGGGATGCTTAGCCTATTTGTGATTCATTTTCCTTTAAGGACACTATCATAGGAAGTTGTTGGATTCCCAGGTGAGGCCACAAAAGTCTGTTCAATCTACTTGAGCCTCTAAATTTTGCTTTATTAAAATTAACCACTATCAGTTACTAACATTTGAGTGTCAGTTTACTGAATAAATTCTAGGTGCAGTTATGATCAGATTATTTTGGTGGGCTGCTTATCAACCTTGAGTTGGTAGGTTCTCATGCAGAAGGTGCCAGGTGGGTACATACATGAGGGTTGAGCTTTTTTCAGCAGCATCCATTATTTTTGTTTTTCATTGTTAACAGATATACTGTCTTGTGTTTTTCCTTATTATGTGATGTGTGTTAGTTTTGCCAGTTAGATCATAAGCTCTTTGACAGCTGGGACCATGTCTTATCCTTCTGTAGCCTATACAAAAAACCGGCATAGAGAAGAATCAACCTCAATTAATACTTGTTGGATTTTTTGCAGATTTTATAACCACAATGGAAAAATGTTAATAAGTTATGAAACTTAATCCCTAATGACTTAAGGGAAATATGTTTAATTCTCTGAATTATTTTTTAACATCAGTACAGAAGCATGAATATGGATTTGAAAGACGAGAAAAAAATGTGTTGTTTTCTCCAGCTTGTTTTGGTTATATGCTTTTATATGAAATCTAGTGATATGCGAGTTTTGTTGTCATGGTGATGTTAATTGTGATGTTGTAAACATGAATTTCTCATTTAATCAGAACTTTGATATTTTCTAAACAGATGGTCTTGTTCAGACTGAATAATATGGTTGCCTTCTCTATCGGTACTAATGAAGAATAATTTTCACTTTTTTAACTATTTTTCATCCTGTTTAAATATGACTTAATATGTTTAAATATGACAGCAGCAGCTGTATTGTCTCATATCTATAAATTACTGAAGATATATGTTAACATTGAATGTCATTTTGAACTATTATTATTCCTTAGTAAAAAGCAAGAGCTGTTACATTGGTTTATGATATTTCCCTAAACTCCATCTTTATTTTTTTTGCAAATGGATTTTTAATCCTTTTAGGCCATGATTGAATATTATCTCTTTGTTTTTCTTAACTTTGCAATAACCCAGCATCTACTGGGGAATGAGAACTTACAATATGATTTACACAAATTTGTATTTAATTCAGCCTTTACCATTATTTACAGCAGTCAATTCACAAGCATTTATTAAGTTGTTACTCTGTGCCAGGTAATATGCCTTATAGAGGTAAAAATGAAACAGCCTCTACCCTCAAAAGCTTCAAGGAAACAATATATATAAACACATAAAAGTATTGATATATTATATAACAAGGTGTTATGGGAGAAGGGTACGAGGGAAGGGAGGGCAGGTTGTGGATCTAGACAGGCTTCATGGAGAAGTTGGTAATTGAGCTGAGGCTTGAAAGGAAACAAAGGGAAACATTTTGCTATAGAAAATCATGAAACTCTACTGACTGGATCCACTGCACTCTTATGTAGCCTAATCTCTACTAGGCCCTCATTGCAGCAAGGCTATCCTAATTGGCTGACTATCACACTCACCACAGTGGCTTTTCCAAACCTTTTCCTTCTTCCTCAAGCCCTTCCCCCTATCCCTACCCATTACTCACCTAAGAAATTTGTTTTATATTTCACTGAAAAAATTGAGGCCATTCATCAAGAACTCTCTCTTCTCCCCTTCTCAACTCACATAATAATAATAACAGTAATAATGTTTCTAAAAATAGTAATAGCTAACATGTATATGGGGCTTTAAGGTTTACAAAACACTTTACAAACATCTCATTTTATTCTCACAACCACCTTGGGAGACAAGTGCTATTATTATCATTATTATCCCCTTTTTACAGATGAGGAAACTGAGGCAGATAATGGTTAAATGACTTGCCCAGGGTCACACCTCAGCCTTCTACAACCATCTTCTCCTTCATCCTCTCTCACTTGAACATGAGGCTCTTGTTCTTGCCAGTGCAGAACCCCTTCACATACACAAGTGATCCCATTCCATCCCATTGTCTCCAGTAGATTGCCCCCGCTATCACTTTCATTCTGTCGTTTATCTTCAGTCTCTCACTGTCTGTTGGCTGCTTTCCTATTGCTTGCACACATGCCCATGTCTCCTCCATTCTCAAAAAACTATCATTTGATCCATCCATCCCCATTATCCTATTGTTTCATATGTCTCATCCTTCTTGAGGCTAAACTCCATGAGAAGGCCAGGAACAATCAATGCCTGTGCTTCTTTTCCTCTTATTCTCTTCTGTACTTTCAGTCTGGCTTCCTAGTCACTCAGTTGACATTGCTTTCTCCAGTTACTAGTGATCTCTTAACTGCCAAATTGAATGGCTTTTTTCTCAGTCCTTGCCCTTCTTGACCTCTCTTCAGTCTTTGACACTGCCAGTCACCCTCTTCTTGATCCTCTCACCTCTCTAGGTTTCCATGACGTATTCCTTCCTGGTTCACCTAACCTGTCTGACTGCTTCTCAGTTTCACTTGCTGTATCTTCATCAAGGTTATGCTCAAGGCTCTCTCCTTATCCATCTTCTCTTCTACCTCTGTAACTGTTTCATTTTGTGATCTCAGCAGCTTCCTTGAATTCACTTATTTCTGTGCTTCTTGGATTTACTTATCCAGTCCTAGACTCACATCTCTTCTTTGTCAGACACCTTGAACTGAATGTCCCATAGATATCTTAAACTCAGTGTGTCTAATACTAAACTTACTATCTTTTCTCAACTTCATCATCCTGTAAGATCTTGTCAGCCTTGGTTACTCTACTTCATCACCCCTTCCTGACTCTCTAATTGGAGGGTAGGGTCATGAACTCCAAACCTTCATTTAAGGAAAGAACTCAGCTTAGACATCTCCTCATTTCTCACTTGGGTATGCTACTTTGGAACTTCTGTGTCTGACTCCTCCACCATGCAGGGTACTTCATGCACCTTCTATTTTCTTTTCCTTTCTTTTTTTTTTTTTTTTTCCCGAGGCAACTGGGGTTAAGTGACTTGCCCAGAGTCACACAGCTAGCGAGTATCATGTGTCTGGGGCCGGATTTGAACTCAGGTCCTCCTGACTCCAGGGCTGGTGCTCTATCCAGTGCTCCACCTAGCTGCCCCATGCTTTCTTTTTTCTCTCTCTTACCTCCCTCTCCTTTTTGGCTTCCTTTTTAGCATTGTCTTTCCCTATTATATTGTAAGGTCCTTGAGGGCAGAAACTTTCATTATTTTTTCATATTTGTATCCCTAGTTCTTAGCACAGTGCCTGGCACATAGTAGGTGCTTAATAATTATTTATTGACTATTGATCTTTCCAATTACTATTGAGGCACCACTAACCTAGTTGCTCAGGTTTGCAACCTAGATATCATCTTTTTCTACTCTAAGCCTTCCCCTCTTCCCCATATTCAATTTGTTGCCAAGTCCTGTGGCTTTTATCTTTGTAACATCTCTTGTATACACCCCTTCTTTTCTCTGACATCTCTGACATCCTGGTAGAGGCCTTCATCACCTCATGCTTGGAATAGAACAATTGCCTTTTGGTTATTCTCCCTGCCTCATCCACCCTCGTCTATCTCCCACTAAGCTATCAAATTGATCTTCTTAAAGTGCAGGTCTGACCATGTCACCCCTGCCCTGCCCCCCATTCAGTTAACTCCATTGGTTCTCTTTTGTCTTGAGGATCAAATATGAAACCCTCTGTTTGACATCCAAAGCCCTCCCTAACCTGACTCCCACCTAATTTCCCAATCTTATACCTTACTCCACACCACATATTCTTTAATCCATGGACATTGGCTCTCCCCCCATGTATGGAATATTTTTCCTCCTCATCTCCATCTGTTGGCTTCTTTCAGGTCCCAGTGAAAATCCCACCATCCACAGGAGGCCTTTTCAAAACTCCCTTAATGGTAGTACATTCTCTTATTTTATTATCTCTAATTTATCCCAGATATATCTTATTTGTACACAGTTGCTTGCATGTTTTCTCTCCCATTAGACTGAGGTAGAGGCAAGGTGGAAAGGTATTCCAGGCTTGGGGGATAGCCAGTACAAAAGCACAAGATGTGGTCTCCTGTGTGTGTGGTAGTAAATAGGTCAGTGTACCTGGATTGCAGAGTATGAGAAGGACTCTGTAATGTGTAAGAAAATTGGGAAAAGGTACTAAGGAACCAAGTTGTGAAGAGCTTTAATTGCCCAACAGAAAAGTTTATTTTTGTTCCTAGAGGCCATAGGGAGCCACTGGAGTTTGATGATGAAGCAAGTTTAGACTTGCTTCTTGGGAAAATTACTTTGATGTCTGTGTAGAGCATAGTTTGGAAAGGGTAGAGACACCAGTTGGGAGGCTATTATAATAGTTCAGCCAAGAGCTGGTAAGGACTTGACTTGGGTGATAGCTATATAAGAAGCATGGAGGGATGGAGCATGTGAGAGATGTTTTGTAGATAGAAGCAATATTTTGCATCTAATCTGATATATAGGGTGACCAAGGTTGTAAGGATCTAAGTTGAGTATCGAGGATGGTGGTGTCCTCAATAGTGATAGGAAAGTTCAGAAGATAGAGTGGGGTGGGATAAAAAACAGTGAGTTTTGCTGGGGACAGACATTTTGAATAGTGATATGGGATGAGAAGGAAGATCAAAGCTGAATATAGACAATATAATTTGAACCCATGTGAGTTAATAAGATCACCACGTAAGAGTATAGAGAGAAAAAAAAAGGAGAAGGCCCAGTAAGTAGTCTCAGGGTATACCCCACAGTTAAGGGATGAATGTAAAGAATGTAAGCTTCTTGAAGACAAGGATGACTTTTGCTTTTGCTTTGTATCCCCAGCATTTAGTAGAGTAACTGTTACATAGAGAGCATTCAATAAATGCCTTTTGATGGATTGTTGAATTGACAAAGTAGCCTGAGAGGGAGTGGTCAAATAGATAGCATGAGAACCAAATGAGAGGAATATCACATATTGTCTGTGTCTGACTCCTTTACCATGCAGGGTATTTCATGCACCTTCTATTTTCTTTTCCTTTTTTTTTTTTTTCCGAGGCAACTGTGGTTAAGTGACTTGCCCATAGTCACACAGCTAGCGAGTATCATGTGTCTGAGGCTGGATTTGAACTCAGGTCCTCCTGACTCCAGGGCTGGTGCTCTATCCACTGCTCCATGGCTTCTTTTTTCTAGAGAGGTGAGAGGATCAAGAAGAGGGTGACTGGCAGTGTCAAAGACTGAAGAGAGGTCAGGAAGGGCAAGGACTGAGAAAAAAGCCATTCAATTTGGCAGTTAAGAGATCACTAGTAACTGGAGAAAGCAATGTCAACTGAGTGACTAGGAAGCCAGACTGAAAGTACAGAAGAGAATAAGAGGAAAAGAAGCACAGGCATTGATTGTTCCTGGCCTTCTCATGGAGTTTAGCCTCAAAAAGGATGAGACATATGAAACAATAGGCTAATGGGGATGGATGGATCAAATGATAGTTTTTTGAGAATGGAGGAGACATGGGCATGTGTGCAAGCAATAGGAAAGCAGCCAACAGACAGTGAGAGACTGAAGATAAACGACAGAATGAAAGTGATAGCGGGGGCAATCTACTGGAGACAATGGGACGGAATGGGATCACTTGTGTATGTGAAGGGCTTCTGCACTGGCAAGAACAAGAGCCTCATGTTCAAGTGAGAGAGGACGAAGGAGAAGATGGTTGTAGAAGGCTGAGGTGTGACCCTGGGCAAGTCACTTAACCCCAGTTGCCTCAAAAAAAAAAAAAAAGAAAGGAAAAGAAAATAGAAGGTGCATGAAGTACCCTGCATGGTGGAGGAGTCAGACACAGAAGTTCCAAAGTAGCATACCCAAGTGAGAAATGAGGAGATGTCTAAGCTGAGTTCTTTCCTTAAATGAAGGTTTGGAGTTCATGAAGAATATTGGACTAGTGGAGTGGGGTATTGGGCAAAAGGTATCAAGTACTGCCATTAGTTTTGGCAATTAATTACATGTATCAGATTTTTCTTGAGGTATTTGCAATAACTAATGTTAGTCACAAGAAGTAGTGCGGTATAATGGAACCAGATGACCCATAGGCATTGCAACATGTCCAAAACTCTACTCGTCATCTTTCCCTCAGAGTTCTTCCCCCTTACAAACTTCCCTATTACTAAAGAGGGCATCACCACCCTCCCAGTCATCTGGGCATGCAAACCTATGTGTCATCCAAAACCTACTGTCTCTCACCCACACCCATCCCTAATATCCAGTGTTGCTGAGGCTTGTTGATTTTACCTTTGTAACATCTTTCACATTTGTCCCCTTCTCTCCTCATACAGTGCTACTGTCCTGCATCCTAGTGCAGGCCCTCATCACCATATGCCTAGATTATTACAGTAGCCTAGTGGTGGGTCTCCCTATCACAAGTCTCTCCCTACTCTACTTCATCTTCCACTCAGTTATCAAAGTGATCATCCTTTAGCACAGTTCTGACCATGTCACTTCCATAATCAATAAACCCCATGGTGCCCTATCTCCTCCAGGTTCAAATATAAAATGCTATTTGGCATTCAAAGCCCTTCATAATTTCTGCCCCTTGACCTACCAGTCTTCTTACACCTTATACCCTCCTTCCCCCACATATTCTTTGATCCCATGACACTGGCCCCTGGCTGTTCCATGAAGAAGATACTTCATCTTCTGCTTCTAGGCGTTTTTACTAGCTGTACCCCCAGCCCTGGAATGCTTTTATTCTACATTTCTATCTTCCAGCTGCCCTGGCTTCCTTTAAATCCCAGCTAAAATCCTACCTTTGACAGGAAGCTTTTCCCAGTCCCTCTTAAGTCTAATGCCTTTTCCCATTGATTATTCCCTATTTTTCCTGTTTCTAGCTATTGGTACATATTTGTTTGACAACGCTATTGGTACATATTTGTTTGCATGTTGTCGTCCCCATTAGACTGTGAGCTTCTCAAGGGCAGGGCCTGTCTTTGACCTTTCTTTGTGTCACTAGCTCTGAGCACAGGGTCTAGGATCTAGTAGGTGCTTAATAAATGTTTATTATCTGAATAATTGACTGGAGAAAGTGGTGGGGTCTAAGAATGAGGACATCTGTATTATAGGTCTAGCTCAGCCACTATCAGTGTGGGAAGATCATTTAATCAATTAGCTTCCATTTATTTTTCTTTAAAAAGAGGGTAGCAGCATCCCCATATTAATAATGGAATCTGCCTACCTCACAGATGGAATTACTTTGAGGAACCAATGAAATAGTATACATGGAAGCATTCTATAAAATATGAAGCACTATACAGATGTTAAGTACTATCATTTTGTGCTTCTTTGTTGTAAACTTTCATTGGAAGAATACACATTTTTTTAAACATTTTGATTTAATCATTTCTTATTTATGATGGTTAAAACTGAAGTACGCTGTTTTTAGTATAAGATACTCTGCACACTTTATTTTTTAGAAAGATGTTCATATTCATTATAAACCCATCATCACGAGGGTCTTGATGACCTAGATCTGTATTTTAAGGTCTTCATGTCATAACAGAAGAATCATCCATCACCACACTGCTTATCACTGGTGGGATTCTAAGTTTTGGGGTGCTGTGTAAATGATACTGTGCTGAAATTCAAGGTGTAGCTTCCTGGATAACTTCAGCGTAGAGAGAGATTGTTTCTCAAGACTGTTCTGGCTATTTCTAGTTGAGGTTCTGTTGTTTCCTTCTTATTGATGATTTAATAAAGAGTAGTAGTGTATTATCGGTCAGGTTAGGTGTATCTAAATCTGCAGAATATCAAAACTTCTTTGTTAATGAAAGTATTTAATAATTGTATATAATTATTATCATGATGAAATAGAACAATCTAGCTAACCTCTTGTGTTTTTTTTGTTGTTTTTTTTTGTTTTGTTTTGTTTTTGCTGAATTTGCTCTAGGTTGGTTCTTACTTGAAATCGCCAAAGTTCCCCATTTGGATTGTTGGCAGTGAAACTCACCTCACCGTCTTTTTTGCCAAGGTATGATATTTGGATAATTTGTTTTTTGTTATAAGACTTCAGGCATACAGATACCAAATATGACCTTATTAAGTTGATATCTTTGTATGAACTTTATTAAATCTTTTTCTGAAACCCATAACTCACAGGCCTTTTCAAAAATTACAGTAATACATCTTCATTTTGCTGTATGTATTTTTGTTAGCTAATTTTAGAATCATTCCAGTTATAGTTATTTACCTTTTCTAACTTTGCACCTTTTGTTTCTGAAGTTTCACAAAAGTTATTGATGTAATAGGAAGACTAAATGACTAAAAAATTCAGGGTGCTATGCTAATAGAAGTAAAAAAAATAATTATACAGTATTAAACAATTATATTAGCAATATCAGTAATAAGAATAGCAATAATACAGAATTGACATTTTGTGATTTGTAAGCTCTTTCCTCACAACAGCTTTGTGAGTCAGATAGTATATTATTATCTCCATTTTGCAAATGGGGAAACTAAGACTTATGGAAATTAGACGCCTACAGAAAGGGTTAAATGAAACTAGATTAGAACCAAGATCATTTAATTCCAAGTCTGCTATTCTTTCCATGTGATCTCCTGTCATTTTACAGATGAGGAAACAGATCCAGAGAGATATCAAGTGACTTTTCCACTGTCACACAGGTAGTAAATGTCAGAGACAAGATTTAAACCCAGGTCGTCTGACTCAAAGTCAGGAATCACTGTGGTAGGGCAGAAAAGACAGAATATGAAAACAATAAGATTGGAGTCAGGAGCATTCTAAGTTTGAATTCTGCCCCTGACGCAACCTATATGAGGATGGGCAAATAATTTCCTCTTTGTGCCTCAGTTTCCTCATACATAAAATGGTGAGAATGAATGAATGAAAAAGCTGTTTGAAGTGCTTCTTAATATGTCTGGCTACTTGATAGAGATGTAAATACAAAAGACACAGTCCCTTCCCTAAAAAACTTACATTCTAATAGGAGGAAACAACACATAGGAAAGTGTTGGCTATGGAAGGGTGGTTTGGTCAGGAAAGTCACAGGAATGGTTGGACAGAGCCTTAGGGAAGTCTAATGACATAACCTCTTCAGGAGCACTTCTGCCATTGATTTGATGATTGTTTTCAGAGCTAGGAGAAGAAAGGGTATATGCGCAGCAGCTTGGAAGGAAGATGGTTGGGATTAAACTTGACTGAGGATCTAGGCCATCAGTATGAATGAATGCATGAATGAATGAATGAATGAATGAAGTATTTATTAGAACGTGTATGCAAAGCACTGTGCTAAGTTCTGAGATACAAAAAGAAAAGTAAGACAGTCCCTGCTCTCAGGGAGCTCACATTTTAATGAGGGAGACAGTATTTGTGGAAGGTTTCAGATGGAAGGGTCTCAGGGTTGTTGGGGTACAACAGCACAATAGATGGCGATGCCTCTTCTTCAATAAAATCATAATCAGTTTCTGATGTTGATCCATTTGGTAGTGCCAAGGGCTTTCTTGACAAGAATTTTCTCTCCTGGGCCTTTAGTGGTTATGGCTGTATGTATCATAAGTAGGATCAGTTGCTAGGCTGCATTTCTTTAGAGATTGATTCCCAGGATGATGGCTAAGAGCATTATGCTAGAAACATCACTTTTTCCAAGACTTTGGGGTTCAGAGTCCTAGACTGTTTCTATCAGGGTCTGAGGGGAGATGGTGGTCGAGGGGTTGATGGTTTGATTTGCCTGACATATGCCTCCTGTTTCTTCCTCGGGGTGCTTTGCTGCTTCAGTTAGATTAGTTTGGCTACCCTGTGTGTGGCAGTTGGTTGGCAGCTAGTGGAGATGGCGGCCCCCCTTCCCACAGGAATTACTTTCTCAGATGATAACTCTAAAGGCTGGACTGGAAGCAGGACCAGTTGTTTGGGCAATTCTGCCACTAACAAGGCTCTCATATTAAACCCTGGAATAGTAGTAGGTAGTCTGCACTATCCCCATTTTGCAGATAAGGAAACTGATGTAGACAGAAATTAAGTGACTTTCCAAAGGTCACACAGGCATTAAGTGTTTGAGGCCACATTTGAACCTGGGTCTTCCTGACTCCAAGTCCAGCACTTAATATACAGTGCCACCTAACTGCCTCTGGTGGTGCAGTAGTTCTTTTTACATAGGTAGTTAGGTAGGAAGATAGATAGATAGATAGATAGATAGATAGATAGATAGATAGATAGA